ATATATATATATAGAGAGAGAGAGAGAGAGAGAAATATATGTTTACCCGCCTGCCAGTTTTCCGACTGGGCTGTTTGTAGATTAACATCTGTCTGTATGTTCAATTCTCCCATTTCTATCCTCGTTATCGCACACACACACACACACACATATTTGTGTATAGGGATGTGTGTGCTAGGGATGATGATGCGGAAATGAGAATATTTTTTAACATCATGAGTAATCTAGCCATTTACTCTGTAATTTGGAATTTGGACTCAATTGTGACCGAAAATCGCATTGCGCGCACAGTTACTAATATTATTATTTATACTACTATTACCCTAAAATAACACTTGTCCTCGGGCACCTAATCTCTCAGTCCTTTTACCGTTTCAGTCCACATAATATTAACAATAGGTATCTTACATACCCGTTGAATCTTCTGACCTTGAACTCATCTGCGTCCCATGACCGCCTGAACACCAGTTGAGAGAATAGAGTGTAATCTTTTGACGGACACTAGTCAGTGCCTTCGCTCCTCTGCAAGGCTGCCTGAGGAACCGCTTTTGCGTACAATGGCTCGTCCCCTTTCAACCACGACGCACCCGATCACACGCCGCCCCTGTTGTCTCGTTCCAATTTTACAGCATTGTTATTCATCACGCGTTTGACATGCGTGTGCGTGAATTCAAGACGCCAATTGGCTTTGAGGCAGTAGTAATCGAAAAGTCTTTAATTGACTGTTGCACGTTGGCAGCTACCCACATCATGCCGTATTGCATACTACTAGCGTAATTGTGAAAGCTGGCATAACTGATGCACTTCAATGATTCTTAGTCGTTGTAGAAGTCTGGCCTGTGTAATGTCATGCAAGTCCAGAACAACGTGCAATCTCCAAAGTCCAATTTGGACTACCGAACACTAATCAACTTTTACCCTCTCACGTCTCTCCCATACGTCCGTTCTCGAGCAAGTCTTATTGACCAAGTCTATCTCTCGATTCCGTTTTTTGCCCGAAGACCTTTACTACCTCAACTCAGGCCCCCTCTTCAGTCGTTTCGGCATACTCCCGCCCTTACTCTAATTATCCAATGATCGTTTAGGATTTTGAATATGTTGACTCAGTGCTTCTCATTGGTTGGTTCCCTAACTGGGTCAGCATCTCAACGGATGCACACACATGTTCCCGAAAACATCCATTGTTATTTTGTTTGTCCTAACTTCTTTATGCTAAAGCGCTATGCCACTCTATGCATTAGCGCGACACTGTCACACAGTTGCGTGTGCACCACGGGAGATCAAGGTCTCGTCGTATAGTCAACCTCTCACACAATGAGTTTTACTCACCTTCGACATTCGGAAGCACGGCCGGACATCGTCTTTGTAAGTGACCTTTCTTCTTGACGGACCATCCCCTACGTCCACTCGCCCGCGCCGCACGCCTGTCCTGCACCCTCGCCCCATCCTTAGCGCACAACATAAGGGACAACTTTCACACGTCCACCGCCTTGTTTCTCCCACCGAACCATCTTTGTAAAAGTTTTTATTTTGTGTTATACGCATATATATATATATATATATATATATATATATATATATATATATATATATATATATATATATATATATATATTGCGCAGCTCAGCGTCGGTTTTACCTTAGGCGCTCGATGGTTCACCGCCGATCCTCTCTCAGACTTGTTGAGTTGGGTTAGTTTACTTTTATTCCAGATACTTCGTTTCGGAATACTGACTTGAAGGGACATAAGCAAGTTTGCGACAATGACAAGATCGAAAGTTGAAAGTATGCGACTTTAAAATTATATATTCTTTCGATGAAAAGAGCGTAACAATGTAGGGTTTGAATACAAGAAGAACCCGAATCACATGTTCACGAATGACTCTGGATGTCACAGCCGAATTAATAATTATTCCACTAAAGAAGAAGACCTTTATCTCGCTTTGAATTTACTTTAACAATAACTAATTGTCTAGGCTACAAGCTGCTGCAACTTTTAAAGAACCTGGTCTTAACGACCTTAGTCTAAGGTTAACCATTTTCAATTACAGAAAACTATAAATACTTTTATGCGTTCATCATTATTTACATTTATTGGGAGATCCAATCGTTAAAACTTACAATCTACGGTACAACCTTTTTAGTTTGCTCGTTCATCTCGGAATTAATAATTATCATTGGCCTCGTTAAGTTTCTATTTCTTGGTTTTACCTTATTAACTTTATTTACATAATTATTTATTATTCCTGCTTTCTCCTACACGGGTACTCACGCATCTGCATTTGGAATATGCAGACGAACCACGCTGGCGGCGCCATCTTGCCGGAACAACCAGAAAATCCCACGTTGGCAGCCGACCTTTTCGGTGACATCGCCTGTGATCGGGAGCACGCTGGCTTTCCGCGCAAAGTTCGGTGACGGTGTCGATTCGACTCGTCATCCTGCGGCACCTCCTCGGATGACCTCAATGATGAAACTTGTCTTCATACACCAGTCGCGATGCCGGGAGGTCGGGCTCTCCCTTGAATTCGCCATTCCTTGCTTTTTAAACTCGCCCTTTTGTTCAGAGCACGTTCTTTTGGAACCGCTTGTGCTGGAGCTTCTTTGCAGTTATAGAATGAGGCGCAAAAAACTACACTACAGAAAACACTTCTAACTATTTGACTTGCTTCTTCAAAAAAAAAAAAAAAAAAGTCCAGAAGCATTCAGTGTGACTCCGTTTGTCACAAAAAATATTACGTAAAAATTTCAGCATAATCCACTTCCTCTCTCGAAAATTTCAGAAGACTGAGTTCCGCAACGGACAAAAGTATGCCCTCTGTTTCCCTCGCTTTTGTCCTTTTTGACCAATGGCAACTTTCAATTCCTTATCTTTAGATTGTAAATTTGTTGTTGGTCAGCTGCGATTTCACCTCGCTTGACCGCCGCTAACGTCAGACTGTGACGTCGCCGACGCGCCACATTCAAATTCGCGCATGTAGACCACAAATTTTGTTTTTTAATTGTTGTTGGAGTCTATATCGAAGCTCGTCTCAATATATAGTGACGGTAACGCCCCTCGTCGTATTGTGACTCGGGAAGTTAGTTATCATCGGGTCTATGAGTTTGTCCCCCGGTATTATTATTATTATTATTATTATTATTATTATTATTATTATTATTATTATTATTATTATTATGTTTAGTTGGCATGGCTTAGATTATTGTACATTTGTTCATTTAATTCCCTAAATGACCCATGTATGGATGTTGAAGGCGGCAATTTAAAAGCTGAGAATGTGATTGACTAGTAAATAGTCATTAAATAATAAATAATTTTCATTGATTAGTAAATAGGCAATTTACTAATCTAATGAAATTTTGACTACAAACATGCTGAAAGTCGGAATGAGCTAATTTAATGATACATTACTACTACTACTACAACTTCAGAATTACTAATTTTCTTTTTCTTGTTTCTCGAACACTGTCTTTAGGCAGTTTTGTTTACACATTTTGTACATTCTACATTGCCAATCGCACAGAACGCCAGCGCTATCTAGGTGCTGGCAAACCCGTAACTGGGGCAACAGTATTGGTAACGTATAAAGCAGCCTTATGCACTAAGAAGCAGAACATTCGTAGTTACGCGCATTACCAAAATTTCATTTAAGTAAACGCGCCTGAAGCTACTTCGAGTGACGCCTAAGACGTCACGTCACGTCTTGTATATTCCTCCATGGTACCTGCTGCAAATTTAAATTATGTACCCCGCGGGGCGATGCGAGTATTGTTTGGTACAAGGAGTAAAATGGACGAATAAACTCTTTATTTCATGATGTAAGATGCAAAGAGCGTGGTTTAGTCGCGGTGTAAGAAATATTCCCTTATACTTCAATTTATTTGAGATTTATGTTTGGCGTAAATCAGCTGTTGACAGTGTCTTCCAATTGAACATCAGCACAGTGATGTCAGTGTGGTGACGTTTAAGCTCCGGATTGGATGATACCATAACAGCTAATTTACCTCATGCGCCACTTACGAATAAATTGAAGTATACATTGTGGTTTGGTGCAGCTGGCCGAAGCGCGGTAAAGAAACGGTAGTGGACACGCTCGAGAACGAGAAGTGTTGTATAAATTTAGGGGGTAAATTATTTGACAATGGCGAAAGATAATAATTGTGTAAGGCAATGGCAAGAAGTATTAGACAAGTTACTTTTTAGTGGTGCGAAAGCCAATCCTAATATTGAGGATCTTCGTACGGAAGAAGAGCTGATTGGATTCTTTATGGACGACTATTACAGGTAAGTGTCATTAGAATACATTGTCACTATGACAGGATATTGAATTTATTTTTGTTGGCTATGTCCTTTTACATTTTATCGATGTCATTCTATGTGAAAACCCGTAAATTATTTTCAGAGATGAAATATTAAAATGGATTTGTGAGAAGTACACTGTTTCTTCATGGAAAAAATGCAAGGACAAGGCGAAGTCACTTAGAGAGGAAGGTAACAAAATCTTTCAATTGAAAGATTATGTAAAATGTTTGTGTATTTACACAGAAAGCATTAAATATGCACCAGTTCAAAGTGAGGAATTGTCACTATCATTTGCAAATCGCTCTGCTGTACTCTTTCGTACATGTAATTATGAGGTAGGTTTTACGTTTGGTTTTGTTATTTCATGTGTAACTTTTTTTAAGAGTTTAGTTTCACCATTTTTAATTTTTTAAAGTATAGAAAAGATATGCCAGTTTCTAGTTCAGAAAAAGTTCTTGGATATTTATGCTCCTTTCGTGACTTTTATTACTTTGTTGTTTGTACAGGGAGCAATAATTGATATTGAACAAGCATTTTCACATGGTTATCCACAACATCTAAGTTACAAACTACACCAGAGAAAGGCAGAATGCTTGATCGGCCTGGAGAAATATTCCGATGCTGTGACTGAATTTAAACTTGCTCGTGATACCTTGCGGGCTGTGAAAGACATGTCAGATGAGAAGAAAGGTATGTTTAATACATCTAAAACGACTTTCAAATTTCTGTTCTGTGAAATGTATTAGTGATTACAATTTCCAGCTCAGATTTCAAAGTCAATAGAAAAAGCTATAAATGATGCCATGGTTCAGTTGACCACCGAAAATAAACATGACAAACTCAAAACATCGAATGAAAATGGTACTATGCCTGAGCTTCCAGTTCCTGTTCAGGGATTAAATGAAGACTTTCCGTACGCCTCAAAATCACTGAGTCTTAGGTAAGTCGAAAGGTGCTGAAATATTGTGATCAGCCTATGTCCAATACTGTATAAAAACACTAGTTTTAATTGTTATTGCTTTAAATGGACATAAAGCAGTTTATTTGTTGTTACAAATGCCCATGCTGGTCATATACTAGCCACGTTGTTTACTCATTGTGTTGGAATATGTTAAGAGTAGATGTTGAGTTTAATGTCTTCATTAGGGAACATATTTTCATATGTACAAATACATATTCTTACATGAACAAGATATCTGCATTCTTTTTTCTAAAGTTTAGTTTACAAGACATTCTGTATGAATTACAACTTATTTTATTTCATATATTTTTACATATTTTAGCACTTGCTACATATTTCTTGCACGTTAATATACATCCAAACAGAATATGTCAGATGAGTTTGCCATTATATGTTACTGGAACAATCTTTCTTGCAATGCAATGTAATATTACTGTGCAACTACGGCCACTTGGACCTCCGCGAACCCCACTTCCCTTTAAAAAAAGAGATCTTGGAAATATCATCCTCAACATTGTTGAGCAGATGTTTCCGAAGTGGAAGTAATCTCAGCTGCAGGCTTGGATGTCATTCATAGAACACATTTGTAACTCGATTGAAATCTGATAAAATTTTTATAAATCAATTGCCTTATTGTGTTGTTTGTTTGAAATCCGGTGCATGTTCTCTTTACGCGCTCCCCCCCCCTCTTTTCTGGGACCCATCACTGGCTATATGGTACGACTTGTTTTGCATAGCAGCTTGTCTTAAACATCGTCATATATATATATATACTGCATTCTTATTTTATATTTTAAATAATGCTCATATTGTGTGATGAGGGCTAGTGTACAATTACTTCTCTAGAAATGGAACTTTATTTCTGATGCTGTTTTCTTATGCTGCGAATTCATTTTAAAACCTGATTTACATTTCTGTCAGAAATTTGAAAATGCTTGTATGGAAGAATTTTAAACACTATAATGAATTTTTATTTTATATAATGTTGGAAAAATAGAAACGCATGTATGTATGTATTTTGCTGATTTTATTACCCATTATATTAAATTTTTTTTTCCCCGTCACGTTTATTGAGGTTTTCCATTCAGCAAGTGTAAGGCCATTTAAGACACAATGGGGTACCTATATTATTGTAGGCAAAGTATTTCTTTCTGGTACTAACTGGCAGCGTTTATTGTATAAAATATAATTGGAATCCTATGAAATCAATGTTGAACCATAACTGATTTGTGTAGGTTATTGAGGATATATTTATTGTAGTAGCATAAATTCCTAAGTAATCCCATATAGGGTGTAATGAATGAAAATATAAAAATTATGAATATTTAGATTTTTAAAATTGTGTCGTTTTCACATCTAGATTCAGTAAGGTTTATCATGTGTTATAGTACTTTTTATCCGCATATATTATAATAGGGACCAAAATTATGTTTAATGGGAAAATCTTCATTAATTGTCTTGTTAATGAGCAATAGAAAATTGAGCTTATACTGAAGGAAGGAACTTATAATAACTGATGCAAAAGTTGATGTATTTGTCCAGAGAATGTAGTTTGACAGTTGCTTATGTTAATTGTAGCACTTAATTCCCTAGGTTAATTATAAGATTAATCACAGTAAGTGAAATTGGTGTGCCCACAAAAGAAAAAAACTTTATAAACAATAAAATTTAGGCTTGCACAGTGTCAATCTGATATGTTTATAAAGATATGCATTACGATGTCTATTCAATGCACAACTCACAATCAACATACACATTTCACACTCTGTTATACATCTGTTGGCAGAATATTTAGTAACCTCTTCCTTGTTTTTTCAACCATAGATTATAGAACAGTAGTTAAGATGTCTCAATACAAATGTCAACAAATCCAGGTAGCAGAAAAGAACAAAAACAAAAAAACATCCTGGTCATTATGTCAGCCTCCACTTCTGAAGATTTTTTAGGCTTCAAAATAATCTCTCCATTTGTATGTTTTTGTGTATAAAATTCAATCCCCTTGTTATATATTTATTCCAAGCTTTACTCTGAAAATTCTTGGGCCAATTGATCACTGATTTACTGTCAGTACAAATAATTGTTGGTTATTTTACGAGGCTTTTAAATCCTATATCTTCTATGAGGAATGATTCCCGCCCCTCCTCACATACAGCATTACATAAATCAAGGAGCTCTGACTGGATTGTTGATAGAGCGATTTTTTTCTTTTTACACTACCAGCTTATCAAAGACAGTGCTATTATTATCGTATATCCCGCAAAACATTTGCTATTTCTTGTAGTGCACCAGCTAGTGCCATAACAAGATATTCAATTGATCTTGCTAATTTTCGATTCTTAATTTAATGTTCTTTGATCCTTTTGGATATCTTTGCATTCTTCATATGCCTTGCAAAGGAACAGGGTTTTAGATAGAATTGTGATATTTTACTATATGTATGAGACAAATTCAGGTGTGTCATGGTCACTAAATAACTTAAGCAGATTACCATTTTTTTCGTATTAGTTTACATAATTTTTATCAAAATATTTGTACTCTTCTATTTTGTATTCCAATTATCTCAAGTGTAGCAACAGGATAACAATCATGCTTATTCTAAAACTTCTCTAAATTTGTTTCTTCTTGAGTATTCTAGAAGAGTTTCTTTCACATACATTCATTCTGAAGATAAAATTATGCCTGTTGTAATAATCTTTTAAATAAGAATGTTTTTTTGTATCATATATCATGGCACCTTTCTTATCTAAAGCAATCCTTTTACCTTCGTTCTCTGAGCTTGGTGACCGTAAATTGTGAATTCAGGTCTGGTCCATGTAGCACACTTTCCATGTTCGCTTTGATAACTTCATTAAATCTTAAAATGTAATATCCAAACATTTCCATGAAAGTTCGATCTTAGGTTTTTCCCGATTCTGCAGTAGTAAATTCAATATTGGCTGTTTTCTTGTTTCTTAATAAATTATTTCTTGATGTCATATTCTTCATACATTCCAAATCCAATAACCGAAAAATATTCCATCCATTTTAATATCCTCTCATGTCATCATCCCATGTTCTTTTCTGGGGTTCTTTCAACCTTTGCTTGTTGTAAAATGTGTCTAAAACATCAGGTTTAACAAAGAACTTTCTCATTTGATTGTTTGTAAACCCTTGTAGATACTACTAAAATTAAACAATAAGTTTTATACATAGAGCACATACTAATATATCTTATTGTTGTTTCGTGTGAATGGATGCATGATATTTTGTTTATATTGATGCAGAGAAAGTAAAGAAAGTGGGAGACATGTAGTTGCCGTTAGTAACATATCAGTTGGTGACATCCTTTTTGTGGAGAAGCCCTTTGCTTGGGTGTTATTACCCGAGAATTATCAGGATCGTTGCCACCATTGTTGCAGTTTATTCGGAGTGCCAGTACCGTAAGTATTACTCAACTTTAGAGAATTTTCAAAGAAATACATGTAGTGTCCTGTTGATGTGGTTTTCTCTGTTAATGTAGCTGTTGGGAATGTACTACAGTTCTGTATTGTAGTGAATTGTGCAGAAAGGATTCATGGAATGAGTATCATAAATGGGAGTGTTATGGTGGACTGGATGTTATACATAATGTTGGTGTAGCTCATCTTGGCCTCAGAGTTGTTTTGCGAGCTGGTAGTATATCAGAGCTTAAAACTCTGAAGAAAAAACTAGAAAAAGGTGATGCCGATAAGAATGAACGTTATGTTGCTGTGTATAATTTGGTCACTCATTTGGCAGACATGAATTCTTATGACCGTGCTGCATATGCTTTGGTAAGTTATGAAATATGTGAAATTGCTTTGTACTGTTAATTAGTTTTCAGCTCTTATGCATGGTAAGTATTGCTTTGCAGTGTGTGTACAACAAAATGAACTTTGCTGCACACATACTGCAAAGAACTTGCAACCAAGTAAAACAAATGGAATGTAAACAAAACACTAGGACAGCATGAATTAACTTGGTTGTCACCTTGAATATTGGGAATGATCCTAAAAGTATATAAATGAAAGTTTCCATGAATTTGTACAAAAATAAATAATATAAGCAACTTGTACAAAATATCTTTTGTGCACTCTTTTGAAAATACCAATTTCAACACATTTGTATGCTAAAACCTCTTTTTCTGTACTAGTTACATTGTTACATGCGCAACTTTTCTTAAGCAGTGGATTGAAGAAATGGAGGTAGAGTGGGAGTTTTAGGAATGAAATCTGCCAATAAATTTTATTGAGCAATGCCAATCTGTGGAGAATCAGTCATGCCTTTGCAACATTGTCAGTAATTTGCATTTTAACTCTGAGGAGTTCGAGGTATCTCCTGTGATGGATGTTCACCTAGTTCAGCCATTTCTTTAGATTTTTTTGAGAAAATCACAGAAAAGTTCTTGTCTTCAACTAAAAGGTGCCTAGTTTCTATTTTGCGCCAGTGAAGATGGGCTTGGAATGTTGTCATCAGTGTTTGCAGTGAGCTTTTGCCTTCAATGTTTATTGTGCAGAGAGGGGGAAGCAAGGTCATTGTTCAAGAAAAGTTGCGGGATTAATAATAACAATTTAGTGGAGAATGATAGTACAGAAACATTTTCTCAGTAAATGCTTTTAGTTTTAACAAAAAAATTAATATGTTAAGAACAGGAGATATCAAATACAGGGGCGGTAGAACATGACTTTGTGAGGTATGGATTGAAAAAATTTGTAATTCATAATAAAAGTTCAAGTGCAGTGCAAATCATTTCAATTAAATGAATATTCAAAAGTAGTGTACTTTTGAGTATGTTTCAGGCATGACGAAAATATGGCTAGCTAACATTACACACCTTGTCTCTCACAATCTTTAGAAATTATAGAAATTAAGAACCTTATATTGACTTATAGCTAATGTCTGAAGTATTTTTCAAAGCTGTTCCTACTTTGCACTGAATCCATACATTTTGAATAATGTTAACTTTAATCAGCTAATTCAAGAATTGGCCTGATTCAGACTTAAGCCATATTATATACATGTCATAGAATTTCTTCCAAATTATTTTGCTTTGGAAAGATCACCCTTAGTTATGTGAATGAATTATTGCTATTAGGGGATTTTCATTCAATATTTAGCTGAGGAAGTAAAAATAGCCACAGTAGTAACGACTTTTATAACCCTAAACCCCACCTGAGTGGACCTCTGATATGAAAAACTAGCTTTGTCACAATAATGTGTAATTATAAATATTTTAATGATTGTTGTGAAGTTTTCTGATTTTTTGGTATCAAATCAATTAGTTGATCAATCAAATTGTTGATTAAAAATCATTTTGAAACAGTTGAACGATGTCCTTTACTTTTAAAGTAGAACGCTTCACGAACAGATATGTTAACCTCATCAGGTACATTAAAATCTGTAGTTAAGAAAGAAACATCTTTACAAGTAACAAATTAAAGTACATATATGATTACTAGTAGTGCTACAGAATAGCAGAGACTTTCCTGTATTAATTTAATATTTCCTTTGGTTTCTGTTAGCTACTCGGACTTGCTGTATACTCTTGCCAACTGCTCTTCATCACTGCCCAAAGTGCATTTTTTTTTAAAAAAATTTCTTCGTTTTTCTGTGTCATGGTAATTGAACAGAAATATTATATTAATAACATTAAAACCCTGTCCTAAGTAGCAATTTTCTTTGAAAAATTTTGTCGTTTTTAAGAAAATGGCGTTTAAGCGCTACTGTAAATGCGAAATTTGAACCCTTTTTTACAGAAAACTATTGAGTTTCCGAAATACTTTATATGAAGTCATTTCAAGCACTTCCAGTCTCATATACAATAGTGTTTACAGGTCTCTGAAAATGTGCAAATTAAAAGTGTCCGAGATCTTTCAAAAAAAAAAAATAAATGAAAAAGCAAGAGAATACCCCGAAATGAACTTTGTCATACTAAAGCAATACAATTAGCACTAGCCCTTCGAAAAGTTTGAAGATAAAATTGGGAGCCGTTTTTGAGAATTTCTGAAAACTCGGAAGTTTGAGTTTGTTTTCGCAGAAAATGGTTGAGTTTTCGAGAAACTTTGTCTGACACTATATATAAAGTACATGTTCTCATAAGTATAGTAATGTGAACAGATTGCTGCTAATGTAAATATTATCTCCGTGATAACGATTAACTTTTACTGTAACTTTTGAAGAAACTAAAGAATAGAACAATATGGTGTGCCTGTAATAGAGTACATTTAGCTCTATCCCTGCCAAAAGTGTAAAGAAAAAAATTCGTGCAGTTTTAGAGAAAATCTTGTTTTTGTAATTTTTTTAAAATTCACATATTTCATATAGAGAACAAATTTTATTTGAAGGAAAAATCTCTATCTTCAATTTTGTAGTTTTAGGACAACACCAAAAAAAATTATATTTTTGAAGTTTTCGAAAATTCGGGGTTAACTATGAAAATCGAACCTATGCCACATTTAGAAGTGCATACTACTCTATTCTTACAAGAAATTTAAAGAAAAATCTGGAGCCATTTTTGAGAACATTTTGAAAATATCCGGGGAGCTTGGGGATTTCCGTCAAAATCTCGAAATCTATTTTCTGCAGCATTGCGTAACTTGTGATTAGAATTCATGGTATTAATGATTTTTATGAAAAGGGTTACAGCAATTTATCTAGCATATTTCTGAGGTTCTCTATCTAAAATCAATGGGTTGTTGAAATTGAACATGTGTGATAACTGTAAACTGTGTTTAGAGATTGTATTCAGTTTGTCATTGATTCCTTTGATATTGTTTTGATGCTTGTGCATTCTGTTTTACTTTTCATTTGGTGTGACCAATATACGATTGATCACAATCTTCACAACGTCAATATTCCAACTGAAGCTGGAATTGAAGCCTTAACATTCCTATTTAGATTGTTTGTTGAAAAGTTTGAAGCAAGCTAATTTAGAAATAGAAACCAGATATACTCACATGCAGGGTTTGATTTCAGGGGGAATGGTGTTCTGGTACCTCTGAAATAATAAAATTATACTAGTTAATATAATATATTATATAATTATTTCTATTAAATTAATAAGTAATTTGGGGTGTATTCCGGGACCTAAAATTTCATAAATCAATCACTGCTTACATGGATCGCCAGAAAAGTGCTGAAACCTAAAGCCTCTATAAAATTAAATTAAAGGAAAAAGAAAGAAATAATTTTTCACAATTAAATTAGGAGGACTGTTAGATTTCCTGTGCAATTTAACCTGTTGTTAGAATGGGTACTCTTGCGCAGTAGAAGGCCTTTATTGGAGCAACACACAGTTTAGGGGCTGGCTGTTTGAAATTCTGTTCTTGTAAGAAGTAATTTTTATTTTTCTTACTTATCAAAGAGTTATTTCCACAGAGTGGAGTATTTGCTAATATTATAACATGCCTTATGGGGCCATTTTGCAAAGTGCAATTCATTCACCTCTCTACAAATTTCTCTTTGACACTGGTTGGATGCAAGAGATCCCAAAATGATACTACAGGAATAATTATGATAAGGATTCAAAAGAGTCAAAGTATTGACGGAGAGTTTACTGGGAGAGGTGACTCAGTGCATCAGCTGATGTTACTTCAGTGTCTCTCACCAGGAGGTCCTAGGTTTGAGTCCCGACTGGCAAGATTTTCGACACTAGCTTCTCAGCTTGGTTGAATTCAATTGCTGTCTGGATGAGAATCCTAGGGGCCGGCTGCTCTGATCTGTGGTTCTACACTTACGGGCCTAATGACCTCTGTAGTTAACATGCCCGGAATCATTAAAACCAACCAAACACCCTTGACTGAAAGTTAAATTCTTGTGCCGTCAGGAAATAATTTCAAGTTATAAAAACCAGGGTAGTCTGGTATTTAGGTAAATACAGTGAAATAAAAATACATGAAATAATTAACACGAAAGAAATATATTTGCAAAGCTCTAAAAATTTAGATTTTAAACTCAAAATTCTCATATAAGGAACAAAATAGTTTTTAAAAAAAATATCATGAAGTGCTTCACATTCACCATTGCTTCTGTTGACTCTCATTAAATATGAAATTCATACTATTTGAGTGATATTAACTGTGAATAAATTATCAATAATTCTACAAGAATCTGTAAATGAATCTGTAAAGTTTCATGTGATCATGTTTCAGAAGTATGTTGTGATGTGTTGGACACTTTTATTACATATTTCTTTATTTTATGTGAGTTCAATTGTAATATTATCTTGTACATTAACCAAATACTTTAAATATTCCACAAGAATATGTATTTTTCAGACTGCTGTGTGTTTAATGCTGTATCTGGAGCATTATACAGAGTATTTTACCCACAATACAAGCACTACAATTCTCAATGGAGTTGCTTCTCATAATGATGAATCCTTATTGATTGGTTGTTTTCTTTTGCATCATATTTGTCAACTGGTATGTAATGGTCATGCGATTACGGCAATCAAGGAAGGCAATTCAAATGATGACAACCCTGTTGTTGATGAGCACCAGATCAGGGTAGCTACAGCTATTTTCCCTTCGGCGAGCATGATGAACCACTCATGTGATTCCAATATTATAAATAGGTAATGGCCAATGTCCTCTCTGCCACGCTTAGATTTCCATGAAAACTATTGTAATCCATGTAAGAATAATAATAATCTCTGAATTCAGTGAAATTTCATGTTAAGAGAATCAACTTCTAGATTATTTTACTAATGATATGCAATATTGTATTATTTTCAGCTTCTTTGGTACCCACTTAATAGTGAAAGCTTACAAGGACATTCAAAAAGGACAAGAAGTTTTCAATTGTTACGGTATTACATTAAAAAAAAAGTTTATATTCAGTTTTATGTTGTTTTGAACTAAATGAGTGATTCTTGGATTTCTCCTGTTAGGACCTCATTTCAGAAGAATGTTGAAGAAACAGAGGAAAGAACATCTCAGGTATCAATATTTTTTCGAGTGCCAATGTGAAGATTGTTTGCGTGAAGATGAATTTTTGGTATGTAATGAAATTTTTATAATCCAATGACATATTCATTTTCATATTTATGACACGTGACACTTTTTTTGTTGTAGGAGAGATTTACAGCTCTGTTGTGTGAAGAGTGCAATGGTCCTCTTCCAAGAAAGCATTTCAAAGCTACCCATGTGAAATGTTTGACTTGTGGATCAAACTATGAATCCAGTGCCTTGCTGGCTGATTCTCTGAGAGCTCATTATGCATATCAGAAAGGTAATTATGCCAATCAATTTTTGTAATTTATTTCACTTTCACACTCACTTTGAGAATGTAGACATTTGTTTATCCCCTGTGAGTATATTTATTTTAGGCTATAATGTCTTTTAATCCCTCATAAATGTGTATTTTGTATTAATTCTGTGATCACAGGGTAAAAGTTCTTAAGTTAATATTTGGCGAAACTAAAAGTTAAGTATCTATATTGTATTTTAGTAAAACAATCGAATTCAAATGTTGCCTCCTTAACGATAAAAATTTTTTGGAAAATATAGGTTCATACCAACAATCACTAGTGGCTCAATAATCTAAGCCTTGTTTTCTCCAAACTAAGAATTTTGACTTACGAACTTTGTCAGTGACCACAGAAAGAAGCCTAGTTGGTGAGGATTTATATTACATTGCCTTTCCATGTCACAAAACTCGTAAATGCTGACGTAACAATAAGCTGCAAAGAGAATAAAAGTATTATGAACATTTATAATATCTACATACATTCATGGATGTATTCACTCATCCACCATGAATTTGCTGGGTAATTCAGAGTAATATTTTTGAATGGGCCTGAAAAGAAGGAATCTCAAATGAATGGTAATGTATCAAGTGAAATGCAATGTGAAAATGAATCAGAATAATTCCTGAGATTCTGCTACACGATGTGATCAATGAGGCCAATGCTCTCTGTTCAATGTTCGGTGAGTATGAATGTACGTTTTGCAAGAGATGGAAATGAAAAAAATTACATTGAGAGAAGTATGCATTCTACATCCAACCACTGAAAAGGATGATTAAAGAAATATTATCTTAACAAAAACTTCCCAAACTTGGAAATTGCTGCTGTCTCCGACATTACTCTTGAAACCGAGAAATGGAGATGTACAAGTTAGCAGTTCACAACTCAATCACATGAACATAAATCAATGTGTATTTCAAATGTATTCTGTTAAAGAATTAGAGGACATGATAAAGAGCACAAGAGGAAGAAAATTTGATGATATTGGAAGGAATGGTCTTAGGTGGTGTCAGATGAAAGACTTATTTAATGTTCAAAGTTGTCAGAAGAACCTAAAAATTTGTAAGACAATGCAGTGTGGGAAGAGGATCAAAAAGGAAATAAACAGTGATACATATGAGGAAGAAAGAGGATAGTGACAAAAATAAAATGATTTCTACGATTCTAATGATTGAGAAAATGGTGGTGACTTAGGCTTTTAATATTTCCATCAACAAGAACTTTCTAGTTTGTTAGGCAAACTGCAATTTTATTTTGAAAAAATAGTAAGAATTAGTTGAACATTTAAAATGTTCTCAGAAGGCCTCTTCAAAATAAGGTAATCTTATATTCAGGTAAATACAGTATTATAGTATTGGTATGAAAATTATTCAGGGTGAGTTACGTAGCTTTAGCACCTCCTATAACTTATGAACAGTTTGAAGTTATTGCAATGCAGTTTTTACAGGAGTGCATGAGGGCTAATTGATATGTGTATTCTTTTCTATTTTATCACTTGTATTTTATGAGATATTCAAGGTAACTTTCGTTTTTCAAATGGTACTGTACATATTCTTTCAGTCTAGCATGACAGTCATAAAAAGACTAGTCCAATTATATACATATTGTCATATGTTAGATAAGCATTTTATTTTGAATAATTTTGATTTTTCTGCGACTAGTGTTTAACAGAGATTTTGAATGTAACAGTTTGCCACATAAGGTCATGCAGCACTTCCTTTGCTAGCATGCTCGGGTAAGGAAAGGGATCTTAGTATTTGAAGATATTAAATATATTCCAAATATTCACAAAACTGTTGCAGTGGTAAAGTTATGTACTCATCCTGTATAATTGATTAGTAGATAATGTGTAAAAAGTGTAATTCATAAAGAGGGAATGGAAAGGAAGAGATACAGTATTAGAAGAATGGCATAATATACACTCAAAAATAGTGTAGAAATAAGTTGTGAAGTGCAGGACTTAATCTGATTATTTTTTTGAAGGCCAAGAACTTATGAATTCAGGGTCTCTAAAAGAAGCCCTTCATAACCTGCAAGCATGCCATGAAATTCATGTGACTTGCTTATACAAAAGCCACATTGAGCGCAGAGGGTGTTTGGATTCCATTGCAAAATGCTATGCTGAATTAGGTATGTAGACTCCTTTTGCTTATTTTGACAGTAACTTTCCATGAAATTTAAAGACAGCATAATAATTGATAAGATTGAGTGATCAAGGTATAATTGTGCATTCTCACAGACTGAAGTATAATTTACAAAACCACCAGGAATATAAAGCAATGTTCGAAACTTCCCATTCATTACACTACATTTTGAATTGTCAAGGACTGGATTTTATTTCAAATGCATATTTCTTCCCAGCAGTCAGGAAAGGTGCAAATGTGTAAATATGATTTTACGATGCACACAATGCATATTTTACCTATTTCCTTAACACATTGCCTATCAAAGATTTTTTTCATCTTTCAATTACCAAGGTGGATAACGGTATTACCCTGTGGAAGAATTCAGAATAGTATAAATAATTTTTTCTTAAATGCAGTAATATTGTTTTGGTTAAACAGATTAAATATTAATTTGAATTATTGATACATTTTTTGGCAATTTTAACAATAGGGAAAATATATTATTACTTCAAAGGTGAGTCCACTGTAACGCACGTACCAACTTCTGCATTAACCATAACCTGAATTTTTTATGAAAACATACCAAGAACATTCAGGAAGTAAAAATGCATGCCATAATTAAATACCAAAAAATTGGGTTTTTCCAATAAGATTTTTCAGGAAGTTTACTAAGAAACTTTTCAACATATCTGAACTGAACAAATTAAAAATAAGTGATAAAATATGTATCAGTGTAACTGAGGTACCCATTGGTAGTCAAAGCATAATGTTTCTGCAAATTGCTAATTATTTTCATATTTTCTTGTAAATTATTATTGTTACTGATGTATATTTTTATCCGAAAAAAGAAGGAAGGTTGGTCAGGGCATCAACTGATGTCTCTGCAGTGCCTCTGACTGGGAGGTCCTAGGGTGCGAGTTGATGGTAGGGTTTTTGACACTAGATATATAGCTAGGTCGAATTCAGATGCTGTCTGGAGGAGAATTCTATCAGCGAGTTGTTCTGATTGGTAGTTTTCCATGGTTTCTCTGATCAACACCTGGCCAATGCCGGAGCAGTAACCTAACAAACGGACCAGGAAGCAGGCATGATCTTTCCTTCCTCTTCCTAGTCCTATCCTCATCATCTACTTATACACAACAACACGAGCATGCACTACACAACCACACTTGTCTGCAGCTGAGAGCTTGTCCTGGCTGAGGTGGTGCCCCACTTGTGAGGGATGTTTACTTAGGGAACATCCCTGCAAGTAGGTTGGCCAGTATCTTGCCATCCAGTGGAGGAAGTTCACCTCTTGTGGGGAAATCATGCACTACACTTATGGGACTATGGACCTTGGCAGTTGGCGTGCCCAGAATCACTAATCAATCGTTATATTCAAATTTTTATTTTTGAATTTGTATTATGCGTATGTATATCTCTGGTTCAGTGTAAGTAGTAAATTAGTAAAAATATTGATCTGGAAAATAATTATTGTTTCTGGCAACATGCTTGCTGTGTCAAATCAATCTTGAAACTCAGTAACGCTGATGAACTCGTGAATGCATCTTGTATCGACTCGATTCCTCCTATCACAGGACATTCCCTATAAAGGAACAGAATGGGAAGTAAAATAGAAAGGAAGTTGTTTTGAAGGTTTATATTTGTAATATGACACATTTCAGTGCGTATATTTAAACATTGTACTGCATAAATGCATAAATATTTTATAAATTATTAGAGTATATAAATCCAGTCCCATCACTTAACTCAAACAATTTGCATCAGAAGGGTATCTTATGTGAAACTGCCTAACAGTATTTTAGCCCAGCCCTAGGTCATTGGGATCCTCAGTCAAAACTTGAAATTTACATCAATAATAATTCCACAGAATTAAAAATAAAACTTTTGAACCTCTCAGCTTTCCAAGCCCAGGGCTATTGCCTGATTTGAGCATGCCTAGGACTGCTACTGACTTCACATGACCATTTTTATTGAGATATACAAAAGAAGCTTAACATTTAATATAGCCAGTAAAAGAAATATTAAAAATGCTCTAGTCTGAAAGATAAGACAGTATTTGTTCTGCACACTTTTCAGGTGATTTTGCCAATTCAACAATATTTATAGAGAGAACGTTGCCAGCCATCGAAGAGCAATATGGAGCATGGAGTATTGAAATGGCACATGAATTATCAAAACTGACTGATTCAATGGTTGGTGAATTAAATGTACATCACGGTGATAAAGAAGCTTTTATGTGAGTATCCTAATATATTTTCGTGAAGCTTTCGCCTAATCCATTGTTAAATTGCAAAATGCTGCCTAATATTAAATCTCAAAATATTTTACTAATACCAGTATTGATAAAAATATGTTCTCTTAACTCTTATTGATTCCAAAATAATAATTTATTTTAATTCTTCGTTATTGAATTGATAATAATGTGTCCAACCATTGAAACTATGAATGTTCAAATTGAATTCTTGAAAAGCTTAGATTTTTTTGAATTTCATATGTTTCAAGGAAAAAACATGCGGAGACCATGAAATATGTGCAGAAGGCAAAAGAAATATTCGAACTTCACTACGGAATCTGGAATCTTGCTGTTCAAGATGTCACAAAGAAGGAAAGTTACTTAAATGACATGTTGTTCTCTGCAGTCTAATACACTTGATGTGTGCACCTGGATTTGCATTCCCTTATCTAGTCATTTGGTATAAAAAAAAAGTCCAGTTTTAAGAAAAAATGTTGTAACTTCTAAAAAATTTTAAAGAGAGTTTCTTAGTAGGTAAGTGATTATTTATCTTACGATATCCGTATTGTTTTGTATGGAAAATAAATTTATTTCTCAAATGTGTGCCTCTTTATTTTATAAATGATTTACAAAATTTCCCCCTCCCTGAATGATGGCATTAGCTACCTTTAATGCATGAAGAATGGTGAGGTAATACAGGAGATTAGATTACGCCACCCTTTACTTCTTGGGTTCTCAATAACTCATTTATCACAGCTGCTTTGAGCAATATTGTTTACGCCTATTCTTTAAATCGGGGATTGTGGGCATAAACTCAGAAATCCACTAGTGGCTGGTCTTGGACAATGAAACTGCAATGCTGTCAATAATAATCAAAGCCAAAATGTGATTCTGTTTAAAAAAAACTTATTTTAAGGATCATATGGTGTCATTCTCTCCAAAACCGCATAAATATGTAAACATTCACTGGTTGACAAACCCTAAGACTGTTAATATAATATTATGTAACCATTACAATAAGTACAAGAAAGCATGTGCTGTTGGAGCTCCACTAGTTTAGTTTTGTTTTTCGACTTCCTGCTTATTACATGTTTCCTAGGTAGTTTAATATCCATCTTCAATTATAGTTTTAATCTCTCGCTATCTTTCTCCTTGTAATTCCTTTGTCCCAAAATACTGCATTCATTTTTACAAAATGAGATTTTCAATAATTTTTCTTCATTTTGTTTTAAAATGTACAATAATTCTGCTTCCTGTAAGTCTATTATTATTGATGATTATGCAGAAGTATAAATTGGTTTGGATTTGTTGTGTTTAATACAAGTGTGTTTTTCTATTTTTTAATGTTTGCTTGTATGTTATAAGTTGGTAAAGACTATCAATTCTCACATATGTACAGAGTCTGCTTTGATTTTTTTATCAAGCAGGGAATGTCACATGTGGGAAATACCCCCCCCCCCCGCAAAAAAAAAGACATTCAAGAACTATTAATTTTTAATTTCCCAGGAAACTTTTAAGTATTAAGTGGAGCTAAAACGGCACGTGCTTTCTCGGCCGTGTTCTCATGCAAAATTACGCGAATAGTACTCAAATTTTCGAAAAATTGTACATGGCCTTATTGCAAAATTTATCCTTAAGGAACAGATTTCATTAAGGTAAAAAATCTCTCTTTCTCATATTTTAGTTGTAGGAAGACTGCGAAGCAATTTCCCAAAATTATGGTTTTCAACGATCGTGAGTCCTGCACCATTATCTTAAATGTTCTTCACATTAACAAAACAATGTAATCAAAACCGACGGAGCCATTTTTTTGAAAAATGTCCTGGGGCATTCATGTAAAGTACTCTCAAAATTGAAATATGTTTCAAATTCCTGGAGCCATAATATCAACCAGATCAATTGGGGAATATCAATTTTGGAGAAAATCGGCTGATGGGTTTAGTCGCTAACGTTGTTTCCTGGTTGATAGTAATTTTGCAATGTATAATCAAGGAGGGGCTTCCCCCCACCCCCAAAAAAAGAGGCTTAGATAAAATAATTAAAATGGTAAAAGCGCAGGAAAAATAAATATGAGTAACTCAAGAAAAAAAACTTGTAGAAACATCTAAAATGTATCGAAAAAATAATCGCGCATTCTGTCCTTGGGCTTTTAGGAATGGGAATCCTGAATCTCACTATTGTAGCTGTGGTTCGTATGGAAAATGTCTTCGGCTGTTCTTCAGAGGCGTTCATCTCTTTCTTACTCCGCTGGACAAGCAATACTACGGTGACTTTCACGTATTGGTGTGTGGCCGACTCAATCGCAAACAGTGTTGACGGAGTAAGGTCTCTAGGTGCCAAGCGAGTGATCGTGGGCCGCTGTGGCATTTTGCGCAATTAGTGTGCGCTCTAAACAAAATAAGGCATGGCTTGCTTACATGCGACTGGCGACGGCACGGTAAATAAGTACTAACAAGAAAGAAAATATCTAAAAAGAATAAGAAAGAGAAAGGAATCTAATTAAAAGAAAAAGATGCTCGAGACATATTTTGTGAAATCCTGTCAACTTTCTTCAGTCCTGTAAATTAATATCGCGGTTTTATTTAAATTCCCTCTCCTCGTATCTGTATCATAGAATGACAAATATAAAACCCTAATCCTTCGTCGTTTTGCAGCTCTAAATTCAACGATTTTAATAACAAATTATTGCTACTTTTATTTTAAAACCATAAAGTGTGTGTGTATAT